GCGTCTTTAAAATCTCATTACCAGTATAGGAAAATCTTAAATAATGGAAATAGCTGAACAGTTATGTATATATACAAGTTTATACTACGAGTAATATTATAAAGTTGAAGAGTTTGTTCGTTTGGTTAGTTGGTTGGTTGAACGCGTTCAACCAAAACCGGTCCGTGTTAAAAAAAATATTTTTGTATTGGATAGTGCATTTGTCGAGGGAGGCTATATAACATAATGTTACATACAACTAAAAGGAGCGGAGTATCAATGAAAAATGTTGCAAAAGCAGGAAAATATATCCCATTTGCGAGCTTCTATTGCATTCGCTGCGTAACGGTAAAATGAAACAAAAATAATGTACCTATTGTAGGTAAAGTTCTGTAAAAAAACCGCGGCAGTATGTCTATATTTCAAGAGTGATGCACTATAACCAGTGGTCTCGATCGTCATTGTCAGAAATCGGTAGAGCTGCCCTCTAAAATCGGTATATTTGTACCCAAAATCGGTATATGACCAAAAATACAATACTCATATTAATTCAAATTCGTTTATTTATCAAAAAAAACTTACAGACTAATTTTTACGTTACTTTTTTTAGCGATTCCAAACGGGAGGAGGTACTCTCGATTCGTCAGTATATTTTCTTTTTAATGTTGTTCACGTATATTTCTAATAATCAATTGACGGTTATATTCCTTTAGAATTGGTTAGGGTGCCATAATTATTATAGCAGTAAAAATAACATAGTCATCACGATATGATTTTTTTGTTAATATCTCACTTTTAGCAATTGAATAACTAATCATCCATACTAACTGTTGAATGATTTCCTGTAACGTTAAGCATAAATGAAAAAAATCTGCCTACTTTAAAGTGTAAAATCGGTACAATTTCCATAAGAAATCGTGCAAAAAACATTGCATTTCGGTAGGACAGAGCTCATATAGGTAGAAATACCTAAAAATTGAAAGGTTCGAGATCACCGACTATAACCTATTTTCCTCAAATTAATGTGGTTGAAACCGCAAGGTACCACTTTATAGTATAACCATAGGATATCACTGATCAACTTAAATTTTAAAAATTATTGCAAGAAATAAAGTACGTCGTTACGTTATAATTGTTTTTCCTTATGTTGCCGTAATCCCGTACGATAGGTATTCACGGAAGGTGATTTAGGACTCGCATGGATTCCCGTTAGGATGATATAGGTTCCGTGGACTGTAAAAGGCAAGCCTGTCTAACCGCTCAAGAAAATCATTTAAGTCAGACCTGACTATTCTTCTATACCATCATTTTACAAAGAAACATTATTTTACATACAATAAGATTTCTAAGTAAAGGTGGAGATAACTACATATGTAAGTAAGTAAATATACATTATAGATCAAGATAAATAACTTGATTAGAAAATTTTCAAAACTGTGATAAAAAAAATATCCAATTTATCATCGTCATCATCTACGGTTTTACTTTGAGATTAAATTAGGAAGGTATTATCTATGCATTTCAATGGAAACAACATTAACAAATATTTTTATATAGAAAACTTAGAAAAAAGTTAAGTTAGTTTTTGTTAAGAAAAGTTTGGATATCATAAGTTGTGATAAAATACAGCTTCTGACACGATTCCGCCTCCCGAATTCGGTCACCAACCTTACGGTTCATTGATTCGGCCTTGACTTCTTAACCGCATAAATCCGATTCAAAAACCACTCACAGACACGCTAAGCTTTCAATAAGAGACAAAAAGAAGAGCTCACTTTTTAGTAATGATCATATCATCATTAGTTGCAATGGTTGTTTAAGATAACAAGGAAAATGAGTTTGAACAATAATGTTCAATCATTAACTTTGATTTGTAGAAAGCTTATTTGGCAATGTTCTAAATGAATAGAAATCGGATCACGTTTAATAAATCAGTTTAAATACCAATGACATTAAACTTATCAAGTGTGAAAGTATAGGGATATGATGTAGATAAAATTGTCAATTACTTTTTTTTTTGAAATAAATCACACGTCTAATATGAATACCAATTAACCAATATTTGGTGAAACCAAACTCTAAAACTAATTTGAAATTAATTTAAAACGATTAGTAATTATTTATCAATGCAAATGTTTTTTATGAATGTTGTCATTCAATATTTGCTAAGGCGGAAGTCGTTTCAGGCCCCAATGATAAATTGTTCATGCGTATTCGAGTGAATCAATCAAGCTACCTTATAATTTACTTGAAAACTACCGATTGGATTCCATGAGTAATTAATTGAAGTGATAGTGCTGACCGTTAAATGCTTGAAAGTTATGTTATGAATACTAATGTGACATTCTAAAAAAATAACACATACCTACTGAATTAATAGTTCTATAACGTTCTTCCTAATACCTATAATGGACGGAGCAGTTAGCAGAGTTTATAATTTAGTTACAAAAATATTTTGACAAAATAGTAAATGACTATTTAAACCTGTTATAATATTCCTGTGTTATTAATTAACTAAATTAGAACAACTTTGGTAACCTTTTAAATTCACAAGAATATTTTATAAATCCCTAATCAAGAACCTGTTTAACGTTTTATTATTTAGTTTTTTAAACCATTAATTTCAATATTTGTTTCTTAGGTTTTCACGCACATCACTCATTAAATAAAACTAGTTTTTATGGGTTAATGCACGAAACTTTATTTATTTATTGACGTTTCGCAGCCTTGTCAAGTCTGCATCGTCAGAATAATGATTTTTTATTTAAAATTGTCGAGCTACCTTCGAAAGACTTATATTGAGCGTTCGGTTATTTCATTGGAAGATTTTTTTTTTTTTTTTTTATTGTCTATGTGTGAATTTATTATTTAATTAACTTTTTAATTATATATGTACAGAAATAAATAATATTTAAATACAAATTTCCTAAACCTATTTATAAATAACATCCTATTTACAAAATAAAAATAAGTCACCCCCATCGCCGCCGTCAGGGATGGTGCCCAATAGGCTGGCAGCATTGCCACGTTGAATGGCAAGGCTGATCCGTTGACCAAGATAATTAACATAATAAAGTATTTTATTTAAAATTCTTGTTTGTAATTTTGAGTTTATTTATTTGACCCTAACCTCAAGAGAGGCTTTCTATCTCCTTCTTATGTTAAATTATGCAAACAAAAAGAACTAATAGTATCTGATGGTCTTGCAGTGTGTGCTCGGGGTTGGGATTTTATCTCCTGTATAATAGGTTCCCAAGCTGGTGGTATATACCAACCATCTTCCCTATTGAAATTTGGATATTTTTTAATCTCAATAGCCTCACGCATCATTCGAGGAACGAACCGCCCCGCTCAGCTGCAAGGATCTGTGGTCTATCAAATCTAATGTAGTGGTTTGGTCCCCCTTGGGAACATGCATTAGGGGGACCAAACCACTACATTATTGAGATTAAAAAATATCCAAATTTTAATAGGGAAGATGGTTGGTATATACCACCAGCTTGGGAACCTATTATACAGGAGATAAAATCCCAACCCCGAGCACACACTGCAAGACCATCAGATACTATTAGTTCTTTTTGTTTGCATAATTTAACATAAGAAGGAGATAGAAAGCCTCTCTTGAGTTTGTTTCGCCGGTTCTTCTCAGGAAGGTTTTGGAACCGGTGGTAGTTTACGGTAGTTAGGGTCAAATAAATAAACTCAAAATTACAAACAAGAATTTTAAATAAAATACTTTATTAAGTAAATTAAATAATAAATTCACACATAGACAATAAAAAAAAAATTAAAAATCTTCCAATGAAATAACCGAACGCTCAATATAAGTCTTTCGAAGGTAGCTCGACAATTTTAAATAAAAATTCATTATTCTGACGATGCAGACCTGAAAAGGCTGCGAAACGTCAATAAATAAATAAAGTTTCGTGCATTAACCCGTAAAAACTAGTTTCATTAATTTCAATCCATAATGTGTTAATTGATTAAATATAAAAGAATAACTGGAATATATATAAATGGTTATTAGCCCGTATTATTAACATAACCAATAACAGTTTTAAGATGTCTTCTATTATATGTAACATTCAATTGGTACACAACAACCTCTTATGATCTAGTTTTAATACTATTGAATTCAAAATTAACGTCTATTGGATGCAAATTTACAAATATCTGCGTGGGTCATCATGATCTACTCATACATGATTGTTAATAATGCATTCAGCTATAGGGATACCAGTCATTAAAATTATAGTAAAATAGAAAAGTAGAAATAAATTTTGTGAATTATGATGATTTAAGTCCGTCTTTAATTGACACTCGTAACATCAAAGTTCAGTACCTAAATTAATCTTAAAAATAGTGTAACACTTCAGTTTTTCTTCGGCAACCCTAACGTCATGATCTATCTGGTTCCACGGTATCATTCTTGACAAACACAGTGGTTCACCAACAAGATAATGTGAATAAAGCGTGACTGACCGACTTTTGCAACGTTTACTTATATGGACAACAATGTTACTATATTTTATCCCACATACTTACCTGCCTGCAAAAGATTCGCTTTAATTTACCAATGACACTTTAATTCAAACATAAATAGCAAGACAACCTGTTCATAAATTGTTGTTAAACAAACGATGTTATTTTTATGCAGCACTGCATGTGTACAAAGACACATTGCCAGTAATATAACCCAACAAGTAATTTGCATGATTCAGTCAATGGTACCCAATGAGCTGAAGGTAATGATGCTTGTACCAGTTGTACCTAATACAGTCTTCACTGAAACTCTATTTATATTACCATCAATAACAAGCATCACATTCGATTACCTGCTATTTATCGGTATATTTACCTAATTGAATTAAAACATATTGAGACATGTAATCCTTTATCACAAATAGACCGTAAATTGCTATCACGGGTAGAATGAATAGGTGCAATCAACAACGATGTATATAATATCGTTAGCAATCAATGAAATTGTGATTTTGTGTTAAAAGTATTTTTTATTGCAGCGACGCTCCTGGGTTCGGAGTGCTTAGTTTCGGAGCAATGCACGATGAAGGTAGCATTCAGTGCCTGCCTAGAAGGTGTCTGCCGGTGCACCGACGGCCATTTGCAGTTCAGAAAACATACCTGCCTCTCACGTGAGTAAAGCCATCACTGTACTCTTGTAACCAAACTATACTTTACATTGCGTTAGGCACAGTTAAATAAGGTTTTTAGTTATAACACAGAAATGACTTTGTAAGTATTCATATTTTATACAAAAAAGAACGCTCTTTAAACGATATAAAAAAAAAACAGAATAGAATATTGACTATTATGATCACAAAACCTAATTTGCAAAATGTCTATGAATGCAAGCCACCTCAAACGCAAAATAAGGAAAATCAGTATTCCTAATATTTTTTTCGGGATAAAAAGTATTCTAGGTCTTAATATATGTCAAAAACTATAGTTGTACCAAATTTCATCCAAATCCGTTTGGTATTTTTTACGTGATTGAGTAAGAAACATAAAAACTTTCATATTTATATTATTATAAAGGAGGATAATTATTGCATACTACACCTGTTTTAAGGGCTAATAAAAACGTTTTTCTTTCTTTCTTTAATCGATAAATCATTACATGAAAAAACTTCAGCCAAGCCAAAACTAATGAATGCAAATTCTAACCATGTCAAAACGAATGAGTTATAACAATAAAATTTATTTCGCATGTCTACATTGTTGCAGCTATGGTTGATTAATTAAATACTTGTTTTCGTCGCCTTTCCTCTGTGAAATTCTTATTGCATAATAGAATAAATAATCTTCCTTTTTAAATTAAAAGCAAAAGTAACAAGTCGTCGGAAGAGTTTAATTGTTGCTTAACCAGCGTAACGCTACAAGGTATCAATCTTTTTTTGCGTAAAAAAAATAGTGACAGATACGCAGTAGGTCTGTACGCATCGCCAGACGTCAACAAGGAATTTAATTTGGTCGCAAAAGCCATTCGTCATTTTCTCGTTTCTTGTTTTGTTTCGCGAAACAATTGTTAAGATTAAAAGTATAAAATGTCACGTCGCAGGCCCGCGGCGAAAGTTGCGGCTTTTCCTGTCATTATTTCTAATTTCTATGAAGGTAAATATTTATCGTGTCATTCTCAAATATAAATACTAGCTTTTCAGCTTTACTCGCGTTTAATTGGGGGAAAGGTCACGTTACTTCTTCAATTTCGAAAGATTCTGAAACACGCATTTGTTTAAATAATACTTAATACTTCTGTGAAGTTTGGAAAAAAAGTCCATTTTATCTTATTTATCCAAGAAAACTTTGGACACACGTTCCATCCCTTTATGAATATGAATTTTTGAAAATCCTTTCTGTGAGAATACCTAATTCATAATAACTATCTGCGTGCCAAATTTCTGTCAATCGTTTGCTTTTATCATATTTTTTTAATTTATTTAAACTTTTGCCAAACATAAGCAAACGGCGGACTAAATGCCAAACATAAGCAAACGGTGGACTTAATGCCAAACATAAGCAAACGGCGGACTTAATGCCATCTCTACCAGTCAACCAGTATGAATGTTGGAGACACATGGTATGGCGATAATATACGCGATAATTCATAAGAAAACAGATATCTTTTTGTAACTGTTTTTGTAATTTAGGCACGTGACAAGTATAACTTACTTAGCCTAAATTTTATGTACCCGTTAAGATATAATACCTACAGTAAGTAGTAACTGCTTCTCTTATTTCACCTTTTCTTAATACGCACAAAACTAAGGGCGTGTATATCTAACTTTTACGCTTTTCGCAAACCCTTTTGAAACTTAAGCAAGTGTGAAAAATAAGTTTATCATTTATACAGACCACTATAGGCCTAAAGTAGCGACATTTGGGATTATTATGGTTATCAATGTATAATAAATATATATTTTTTCATATAGGTAAGTGACCACTTAACAGCAGACCTGTTTTACGCATTCAATTCAATACAAACTGACAAATTAGTTGGTTCAAGAATTGCCTACTTTATTCATTCTGTTTGATGTAATATCTTGTCGTTTCAAGGTTTATTTTAAAAATTAAACGTATTATGAACAATGTATGAAACGTGCAACTTCGCTTTTTCTAAGGACCTTCTAATCTCTTTATTTAATGTTCTCATTACTCGATCGTTTTTGTATTGTATATGTCACCGGTAATCTGTATAATGCAGGTATTCTATACGTTGCCATTGCCTAGGTATAGTATAGAATGCCGAATTATACAGATTTTCGGTAACATATATAATAGCATTATAGTATTGCATATTTTTGAGAAACACCATCTTGTGGAAAGTACTATGAACTACGAAAATTCTACGATGAAAAAGGACATCTCACGTAGACGCCAACTAGATTAAAACTCACACTTAAAAATGACGATTGCTAGTTCATCTTTTTTTTTCATAAAAGATCATAATGATTATAACGACGTCCGAACTCTCGATTTCGTTGGTCGACAGCTCGCGCCGATTCGGACTAGTCACGCCCTCACAGAATTATTGTACTGCGTCGAAACGAGATAAGCTGCCGTGTAATTCTATAAAGCGGTTAGATGAAAGTTGAGATAGTAATGTCATTAGCAATCACACCGTTTTTGAGGCAGATAGACATTAATGTTGGATCAACAATTGATGGAAAATGAGTTGTAAAATGAGTCGTGATCGAATCGTGAATGGTGCATGATGAAATCTTATGAATGTCATTATCAGCATGATATTAAAGTAATTGGATGGACGTTTTCAATTTCGATATAGAAAAATATAAATAAACTTAACGTAATATTATATCGAAGCAAAAAAATGCGTCAGCTAAGTCACTGCTCGCGTACGAGCATATAGTATTTGTTTTAATGAACAGAGTAAGTACCTACAGCCTACACTTATCTATTTAATAAAAACTCTATTTGTCGATAAACATTAACAATATATTTTGGACACAGGCATTCGCTAATGACGATGATTTATCTCTGGACAAAATCTTGGGATGTGGGGGAGGAGGAGTCCCACATAACCCCGTCTCTCACTCAGGGGCGCGGTATGCGTCACGCATTTTCCTAACAAAAAACAAAAAAAAGGTCCACTGTAATGCTAAAATAGTTAAAGGGCGTCATTAAGAGAACCTACTTATTGTTTCTATATAAATATGTATTACGTAATAGCTCTCATTGTATCTATCGCATTTTTATGCAAGTCTTTTTAAAAGTTTATGCCTAGGCGCATAGTCCTTCCTTCTTATACGTTTTAAAATCACGGAATATATTTAAAATCACTGAAAAGTTAGGAAATATAATTTTTAGGGTTCCGTACCTCGAAAGGAAAAACAGAACCCTTATAGGATCACTTTGTCGTCCATCCGTCCGTCCATCCATTTGTCAAGACCATTTGTCAACGCATAGAGGTATCAAACTGAAATTCATATCTAATACTCAGGTCTACTGTCCCTTGGAGCTGTGACCAAATCAAACTTCTAAGCCAAAGCAATCAAAAGATACAGCCGTTTATGCCACATATTTTCGAAACTCGGGAATCAAAACCTACAAAGTACTTCCCGTGAACTTAGAATATTGAAATTTGGTACGAAGTAACGTCTTATAGTACAGATAAAGGAAAAATTACGATAACCTTAATTTTTTTGTTACATCATATATTAAAAAAAACGACGGGTTGCACTCCGGGAGTGCCGGCAGAAGTGGAAACTTGAATATTAACGTTGTGCATTTTTGATATTTTGAAATGGTTAGGGAATAATTTTGCACGAATTGCGTTGCGAAGTATTGAACTTTAAAGTACTAATTTTTGTTTGAGTAGGGCGTCCCCTCTCTAAAAGCTTAATATCAATAAGTTTAAGTGTTTCCCATCTTTTCCTCCCAAGCGGGGGATATCGAAAAATAGTCTTAGAAACCCCTTAGTAATTTTAAAGGACCTATTCCACAATATCCCACACGATGGGGTAGATGATGAAAAAAAATATCATCCCCAGGTTACATGGGGCGGAGAGCAACCCCAAAAAAATATTTTTAATTTTGTTATTCTACCATTTTTTTGGCGGCATCGATATACATATCTTCATAAATTAAAGCTCTCTAGTGCTAATAATCTCCAAGCAGAACCGGGGGCGGACATACGGACAACTATAAGGGTACGAAACTATAAAGGTTCCTATGGAACCCTAAAAAGCATGAATGTGACGAATATTTAAGTAGGTATCAAATAGTTACAATATATGAAACTAGTTATTGCCTATTCATCGAAAAATTCGGGATAGTTCTAAAAAAATCGCACGCAACATAGATAATCCACAGTTTCAAACAGTTTCTGTAACATCGTAACTATGACATGAAAAATACACAATTAGAGTACATTTAGGGATGCAAAGTCTTTTGAAATATCGATATTTATATCGAAGTCAGGAAAAAATCGATATCCGATATATCGACTATTTTAACTCGATATTATCGATATATCGATATTTTTCCTTTTTATTTCTTATTGACATTAGAATACGGGGTGAGTGTGACACATTCATATGTTTGTTGGCGAGTTTCTCGCAAAATGCATTGAGCCAGCTTTTTCGTTAAACACACTTATTGAAATCGCGCCAAGCCGGATTTTTTTTTTATTGGATCGCACGGTTTGTGTTTCAGCCACGACAGGAAACCAAAAAAATAAAATTATTATCCTGATCAGATCACTCACATTCGTTAGCACGAATGCACTAACCTGCATATGTGGGACGACATTTTCGATTGCCTTCGCTAAGTTTTCACTACATTCGTGCTTTTCCAAGCTATGTCGGTTTTTAGCGCACATCAAATACGCAAATTGCTTAGTCTCGTGGGCGTGCCCATGGCTTCAGAATAGGGTAAGCCCAAAGCTTCCAAAATTACTATACCCATCTTTCTTTCTTGACTTGATGAGCTTAAAAAATTTACGATTTGTAAAAGATTCTTAATTTTATTTTGTGTTATATTACAATGATATTAAATTTCAATTAATCAGTAGTTGACAATTATCTAGAAAGAGAGGCAAGGATTTTATTAAGTGCATGAGTTACCATTACGTATACGATTATACCTATATACGTTGGTGTCGATTCTGGCATGA